GGGTCAGGACGCCCCTGACCCCCCCCCCCCCCACAATCTGCCAATGACCCAGACTCTCTGACCAGAGGGTGCACTAGTAGTCTGTTACCAAATGTTACCCATAGTGCTGTTTTGTACAGTATTTTAGTAGGCCCATGATATCATAGGATAACAAGATTTAATTTAAAAAAAGGACATTTATTATATACTGATGTTGATTACAGATGCATTCTTTATTCTCAGACACACCATGGGGAAGTCTTCCATATCTTGAGGTTAATGGGCAACCTATTGGCCAGAGCCTTGCTGTGGCAGAGTATCTCGCTAGGGAATTCAGTAAGTGTAAGAAATAAGATGTGCTTTCCCCCCCCCCCAGGATTTGAAGGGGGTGCAAATGTAAATAAATGTCTCTGATTGGTCTTTTCATGAAAGACAAAATCAAGTACTGGACAGTTTTAATTAAATAGCACTTATGAGGTACTAATAGATTAATAATGAAATACAGATATTTCAAAAAGCCAACTTACTGTGTGGGTGGTGAGGACAAAACGGGTTTTACAGTGGAATGTGCACGTGCATATGTGTGGGAGGAAACGGATTAAAATAAGATCAAAACATTTAAAATACAGTACATACATACTTAAAGACACAATAAAATAACTTTTTATGCTCCCTTTGTTGAAGATACTGTACACATTTGCTCTACTGTGGCCGTAAATGAAACAAATGGCATCAGTTGCATATAAATATTTACCAACATTATTTGGGAGGAATTAATAGTGTGCGAACTTATGGATGTCTGATTACTTTTTTAGAACTTGCTGGAGACACAAGCGAGGAGCAGGCATTATCCACATCAGTGGTGCACGCTCTGACTGATATCCTGGAAGCTGGCTTCAAGGTCATGTTTGAAAAGGACGAAGCGGCAAAGGTAATTATCACAGGATCCACGCGTCGACCTCGTTTCTGTAAAATTTTAAAACTTTGATAAATAAATAAATAAATAAATAATCGTATAAGTCTAGCAAGGTCAAAATGGCAAACTGAATCAAGTTTAATTAACAAACACAAACACACTTTTTGAAGTTGTAAATTACTTGTTGGTCTCATTGATTTGAAAATAGGCACCAAAATATGTAGGTAACTTAGAGTCATACTCTATTACAGAGTTTTAGAGAACTAAAGTGCCACATGTGTATTTTTAAGTAACGTTGTAGGCTGGGCTGTGGAAAAAGACGAAGCTACACAAGAATGTTATGTGCAGCCGGCATTCACTCCCAATTTTGTAGAAATGGATATACTCATTTTGCAATTTTCTAACTTTTAAAGGCTAAACTTGTAGAAAGTGGCAAAGAGACGGTCGAAAAGATCCTGGGAGGGGTGAACAAAATACTTGGCAATAAAGCATTCATCGTTGGGCAAAAGGTGAGTGATAACATTATCCAAATGTATATGGTACACAACATTGGTGGATTACATTTTCTGTGATACATTCTTATTCGATAATAGAAATAAGGCACTTGGCTACCACGTGGTAGGCATATTCATCGTTTCTTGAAAAAAAAAGATGTGCATTATGTAATAAAATGACCTTAACTCTTATGTTATTACTATTCTAGATGACGTACGCAGATTTGGCCCTTCTCAACGTGGCCCTGCAGTCCCCAAACCATGGGATTGGATTCTCCTTAGACAAATACCCAAACCTGAAAAAAGTCGTGGAGAAAGTCAAGGAGTCCAAAAATATCAAAAAGTATCTGGCAGAAAGGCCCGTGACCCAGTTTTAGGCCCAAAGAGACTCTGTCGTCTAACACAGGGGAAATTTAGTTTACCAAAAGGAATATAAGTGACAATGACATAGGAAGATTATAGTATACATGTACCAAAAAAGGAGTGCCAGTTAATGCGAAACGAATGACTGAATCGCGTATAAAAGATATGCTGTTTCAAAGGAATATGAATATATATAGTAGCATACGTAACAGGTGTCTTCTCTTTAGTGTCTCTTTCTCTAGTCTTAACCCCCCTGTTTCGGAAATCTGCTGAACACGGGGGAACAATCCTTGTCTTTACTTGTACATCTTTACGCACGTAAGAGATAACTGAAAACATAAGGCTCTTGCAGTGTAAAATCTGCGTATCCATTTATCTTTGGGCAGTTCACGTCAGTTAAAACGTGCAGGCCTAGCTGTAGTGCCCTCGTTAATAAATTTTCAATTAGAACGTGAAATATGTATTTTGTTGGAAAATTTTACGGGACTTAAGCGCTATAGTTATGCTACTACACCTTACAAACGCAGAAATTTATCCTTATGTGTACCTTGATCACAATGACAGAGAACAGCAAAGTCAAACATGCACAATAAGCCTTTTTATAGCAAATAAATGAAAAGAGAAAGGAATACATATCGCGCGAGTATATTGATCAAAAGCGCTGCACTCCAAAATTTTGGATCAATAAACATGGGACGTCTATACACGTAACCATGAACCTCTTCTTAATATTGGGACCGATTTTTATTTGAATTGTTCGAGAGTACTAAAGTCTTGAACCGTTAATAGCAATTATAACATCACAATGTTTGCTTGACAAACTTCTGAGCTTATGATATTACTTGTATTGGCATAAGGAGCCGAAGACACATCAGTTGTAGATCAATATCGAAAAGCCAAGTGAAACGTTATCAAATGAGAATGCCTTTTTGACAAAAACATGCAACCATGCAATTAGTAACAATATAAACAAAAACATACATTAAAAGAAACAACAATAATACAGAATCAATTCATCATGGATAATTCCCGCACTTTTTTGTGCTGATCGCTATATAAATAATTTTTATACCATCATTTTATTCGACTGGGAAACCAATCGATATCCTTGGTGTCTGCAAACATCTTTGGTAAAAAATAAAATGTGCTTTTATTAGCAGATCTAATGTAAACTTAAGTATTATTTCGACTTACAAAAGTGACAGACAGCATTTTTGACGACAATTTGAAACATGTCCTTTATATACACAGAGTTTATTAGAGTCCGTAGAATATTTTCAAAGGGGGCTTCAAAATAATAATTCTAGATTTAAAACACAAAATTGAGAGCTCTTGTGACTTACAGGTTATCATTTAAATGACAGGCATACTCGTACATTTTTGGCAAATATACCTATTTTTCATGCAACACGTGCCAGTGCACATTAATTAGCGTGTGGACTGTATTCGCACACGCAATTGTGTGCAAGTACACATTCTTTGCCAGACTTACACTACAATTCTTACTCGTGCAAGCTTATACAATAGGGTGAGTGTCATTTAGGTAAAAAAGTAAACACAACCCCTCATTTTCATATAACTATATCAACTAAACAATATTGGCACACGGATTTCGATCTTTTATTCACGCCCTGTTATATGACCACTGATCTGGTTCTGTTTACACTTATTCTCTACGACGTTGGCAATATAGCTTAATATATAAGTTAATCCCTATTGCCATGGTGATTTTACATGTCAAATCGGTGGACAATTCAGCATTTCATTTATGTAAATGGAGGCATGATAATTATATATAGTTTAATTTTTTCCTAATATTAATTCAGCGATGGCTATTCTGATGAAAACAATTTGCATTGTCATATTTATCCTTGCGACATACTCTGGTGCGTGGGATGATTGTGCAATGTCATAATGACGCTGCAAGTTTTAGCTATATAAAAGAAGTCCACTTCATAAGAGGCCCCGTTTGTGACCTGTTGTCATAATAAAGCACGCGTTAAGTAGTACTGCACACACCTTCAAATATAGCAAAATTTTGTTCAATACCGGCCGTTAAACCATTCGCTGCGTCCACACTCCCCATTTCTAAAACTAATTATTTCAGATAGCGATAATTGCAATCAAGCTATCGTCCTCTAACCTTAAACATGCCGTACAAATTTACTTACTTCAACGGGGCAGCTCGTGGAGAGTTGAGCCGTCTGGTGCTTGTTGCTGGCGGTCAAGAATTCACAGATAACAGAATAGAGTTCTCGCAATGGCCAGCTCTTAAACCAAGTAAGTAATACAAATTGTTAAATGAGATAGTTTGTCCATATTGATGATGTTTGCTTGTTTAATGATGAATGTCTTGGGTTTCACTTACTTCTTGATGTAATATTACATAGTATTGTTGTTGTAAACAAATCTTTTGCAATAAAAATATAGATAGGAGCGATTTTGAAGCGAAATTTACGTCTGGTTATGTTCATATGGTTTATTGTGTTACATCTCGCAAATACCACAGTTCATTTGACTCTTTCATGTTTTGGTTAAACAAATTGTCAATAAACAAACTAATTACTAAATTTGAGGCACAGAGGCATTAAAACACACAAAACAATGTGCTTGTGTAAGGAAAGAAAACAGTATTTAATCTTATCTATTTTTCCTAGTAGAATAATGTATCCTATAGACCATGCAAACTTAAAATATGTTTCCCTGTTATTATTTTACTAAATATTATTAGAAAAAACAACCCTGCTATTAAATAGAAATGCTGGAAATAGAATAAGTTTTGTGGTCAATTGGAGAGAAATCAGTGGCGTGCCATACATGGGACAATCTAGCTTCAAATACCGGTATGGGGTATTACCGGGGACTAACGGCAGGGACTGTGTTAGGTGTACATTAACATTCCCATATACCTTTTCAGGCACGCCATGGGGAACTCTTCCGGTCCTGGAGGTTGATGGGAAGGTCATAGGTCAGAGTGGAGCAGTGGCAGGTTATCTCGCGAGAAAATTAGGTAAGTCTGACAAGGTGTGCGCTTCTGAGTTACATGTGCAATAAAATGTATAACATAAGTGTAGGGATAATAATGTATAGTGGGAGTTAAGTGGCTAGAATATGATTGTTCGCTGTGTGTCTATACTAGAACTGTGATGAGGGAACGGTTTCAAGGAAGACCTTAGGTGCGGAAAGCTGGTTTTAGCATTTAGAAATGGAGGTCCATTTCAATCGTAGTTAAATCCATTATTTTGAAATAATGAAGAAAGTATTTGTCAAAAGCACTGACACTTAATTTCTTTTAATCAAACAGGCGCAATGTTCAATTAAAGTGCGTGCGCCACTACCAACTAATCTTGGGTCAAAACAGAATAAATTCTTGGTCTTCTTTCGTTCTAAGTTCTTTAAAGAAAAAGAAAAAAACAAGATAGACGCCCATAGTTGCCATGAGCATCGGTGCTCGAACGAAGGCCAGGCGACCATGTGCTCTTACGGTGCTGCATTTGACAGGAATAAATGTGTTTTTTAATAAACTAGAGCTAAAATAGTCTGATGCTTCTATTGTTACAGTATGTTACACTTGTAAACGTACTGGTACATGCCAAATATAATAAATATAAAGAATTAATAGCTCAAAACATGTACTTGGCAATATATTACTGAAAACACGAACGGATGTTAAATCTGGGAATCGTGCAAAATAAACTGGTTCAGCCCATTGTCATGGGCTGAACGATTGTAAGAAGTAGCGAGTAAAATTAGAAAATGACGGGAAACAGGCAAATATTAGGGAAGCGTTTGGACAACCTGCTCTTTCATCAAAGTGTTATAAATAAGGGAAAAAAGTTGGCAGTTAAATAAAACGTGTGTGTACCCCAGTACTGTGCTTGTGGAGAGAACTTGCGCCTTTATCATTTGATCATCTCAAATTAAAACATCCAAATGTTTTTGTCAATGTAGGTCTTGCTGGAGCGACTAACGAGGAGCAGGCATTATCCACATCAGTGGTACAAGCCCTGACTGATATCCTGGAAGCTGGTTTTAAGGTGGTGTTTGAAAAGGACGAGGCAGTAAAGGTGATTATGACAACATCTGCTAGGTGTCCTCTTTTCTAATTTACTTCACTGTGCAACGTAGCAGTATATTGGTAGCGGAATGCTGTTGTATTACTGTAAAAAGGGGAATGCATGCTTATCACATAAACTCATTTATGACTTAGCTGATTAATACCAAATATGCAGCATATACAAACTGATTTTTTTTATTAAAATGCCGTGCATTTTTCATACTTCTGCAGATAATAGGAACATCTATCTGCAGCAGTACTTAACTTTTTTTAAATATCTTGTTACAATTCTTTCAGGCCAAAGCTATCGAAAGTGCCGTTGAGACAACCGAAAAGATTTTGGCTGGAGTGGAGAAAATTCTCGGCGACAAGGAGTTCATTGTTGGGGATAAGGTAATGCTGACAACCTGACAACAGAATGTTATTCTACTGAAAACTTATCAAAATTGTAGATATGTGTGATTGTGTGTGTTATTTTACATCTTCATAAATTTAAAAAAGTAAATAAAAACATAATTCACCAGTACTGGTACTTGATTATTGTTCTTCTTATCACTTTATTATTATTATTATTATTATTTTAGATGACTTTTGCAGACCTGGCCCTTCTCAATATCTCCCTGCAGTGTCCCAAACATGGGATTAACTTCTCGCTGGACAAACACCCAAAACTCCAAGAGGTAGTGAAACGAGTCCAGAAAAATGGGAAAATCGCTCAATACCTGAAAACCAGACCTGTTACAGAGTTGTAGACAATAGGAGGCGTGGTGTCGTATATTTGATGATTTAGTAGTACAATTATGGATATCAAAAGGACTATCACACAATCTGAAAAATTGATTGAACTGTCCGTGAATAAAAGTTCTCACTTTTAATTCATAAGGGTTCTACAATGTAGGGTTGACAATCTAAAACTACTAGTATAACTCTCGACTTATTTCATTGTAAAGCCCTTTCACATTCGTCCAAATACGTACTTTGAAAGACAAACATCAATAACGTGAACTCATTTCCCACCACATACTGTTTACCTGTACCTGTGCATATCTATTTAGAAACATTTTCAAATGGATAGTTGTTTAATTTTCATTTTTTTCAACACAAACAAGCATACCGTTACGAATGTAATCACGTATATATTTGGTACTTATCCGTCAGTTACCACACAACTTGGAAGTTGAAAAGTGTATAAAAGAATGAAAAAACTATCAAATTTACTCTAAAATATATTGCATAGCCCGTGATAACAAGATAGATTTTGAATATTGTGTTCGCATTTTCGAGGATATCTTTAGGATGACTTAAATGTACATGTAAACAAACATATAACATTGATTTAAAATGCCTTCGATCTTCTAGATCTTGACTATGGTTTTGGAGGATGATTGAAAAATATGTCCTTTGCAATAAAGGTAAAGTTTCTTTGTCGTGTTTGGCGTTCAGAACGAACATCGAGATTCGCTTTGTTAGAATTTATTGGAATAAATATATTTGTAATACATGTATTCCTTAGACGAGAGAATAGTAATAAAAATGAAAACATGTGAGAGTGATTTGTTTAATTTGTTTTGTTGTGTCTATGCGTTCAGTTACATGTACCATGTGTCCACAGAGTTGAGATTTAAACTGTGAATATTATGCTTATAACTTCGGTTGAAATTGTAAGATAAATGAGGCGAGAAAAGTGCTTTGTTTACAAATACGTCCTGTTTTATCTTCAATAAAAATATATAATTTAGTTAATATTTGCTCGTGAAAACGTCAAGCAAAATAAGTCAATGGCGCCGAGAAAATTCAACATTCTATGCACGGTCGAAGTCTTGCCTGTTGTCATGTTGTTAATAGACCAAAGACCAGTTTTTGCATCACTGATTTACTTTCACTGGTTCACATAAGGTAATATTGCGAGTTAATTAAGCTACCGTTAGCTTATTCCTGGTCTAAAAAAACCCTGCAAAGATTCAATAGCCCAGGGAACTACTCGGTTGGTACATGACTGTTCCTTGTCTGACCGAGTTCGGGTGTCAGTTGGATTTTATTAATTTTTAAAAAAGGTTTCATTAAATTTCGGAAATAATAAACTTAAAATATATGAGGTTTGGTGGACACGAACCGGTAGGATAAAATAAAATAAGTGGATGTATTTTGAGTTTAGAATTTCTACTTCGGTAACCCTTATACATATTTTTGACATTATTAGAAGGTGATTATTATTATTATTATTATTATTATTATTATTATTATTATTGCAAGTTGATAAGGAAAATGTCAATTTCCCAAAGTCAATTCCCATAACAAAAACAATTAAAGGGATAATAACTCTCCGTTTCAGCCAAAAAATGAATTTTCCTGGAGTAAACAACAATTTTCCCATACTTACCAATGGTTAATGAATCCATTTTTACATTCAAAGTTAGTCCCTGGTTTTTTTCTAAAAAGGTTGGTTTTTTTGTTAAAATCTCTTAAGAGATTTTAACAGAGTATAGCCATCAATGGAGGTCACGTGGTCTAAATACAAGCTCAGATATCAGAAAAAATAGCTATAACTGCCGTTTTGTGGTAAAACAAAATATATTATATTTCTATGAGTTATTCACAATGTTTTTATTGTGAAATATAGATATCATACGAAGAGTTATTATTCCTTTAAATAGTCTCACTGGCATAGTATATGGCCTATTTATTTACAGATCCTTTTTAAAAGGTGCTACGCGAAGTCCACCATTATTCTATACGTTAATGTATCTTGTAGAGAAACATTGGTAATCAAAATTCTAGCGCTATCTGTCGTATGATTTATGCCCCATATTGCGTCATTTTCTGCTGGATCCAGTCCAAGTAGTTGACAACTTTAGTGTACACACCTGGCTTTCTGCGACCTAAATAATACAAATATTTATTTTGAAAAATACATTTATAATTACAAAATTATATATAATATGGTTAAATAGATAATATTATTTAAAAGACAAAAATAATATGTATATGTATGACTATTTATCCAATGCTATATATAATATAAATATATACAAATTATCAAGCTCTCTCTATATAAACGGTATAAGTAACAGCTGGATCACCTACCTGCACAACCGTCGCCCCAAGACGTGATACCATGTAGCTCAAATTTCCCGCCTGACTTGCACACCAAGGGCCCACCACTGTCACCCTTTAAACATAAATTCAATGATCATGATTAAAAATTTGAAACTGAATTTAAGTTTTATGTTTTTTAGCTCTCTTTCTGTCTTTCTCTTTCGCGCGCACGCAATTTATTGTTTAGTGTTGATTTTTGCTTAATTTTTCAGTTAAATTTCAGTAATTGGTTTGTTTGCTATTCTGATGAAGTAAATTCCTCTCTTACAACCCCTCTTCAACCTTCAAAACGCAAATATGCGGTATCGTACTGGTATTTGTATTTATGAAGATGTAAGTTTGAATACGTCACTAATACGCACACTTCTTGGTGCAAATATGTTCTTTTATGCTACTTTCCAATATGTTGAAAATGACTTCGTTCGCCCAAAGTTATGCGTGAAATTGATTTCACATACGATATTCATTCGCTTCTTTATAAGCTAGAGTGTAACGTGCTTCTACAAATTTCCCGCCTGCTTTTGAGAAGCACTTTGGTAAGGTTAGTTTCCGGTGGCACCGTACATATCTAATATGTTTTTTTCATCTGCATTCAGCACTGATATTCTAAAAACAGCCAGCCCATTCCTCAAAAAACACAAGCACATGTGATTCAGAACACGCATTTACACACTAACACACACATATAAACTTCTTCTACAGCACACATCCACAAGCATGTACAACATGGCAACATGCGCTCATATTCACAAAAGCTCACACGGGTTGACGCACATGCACACACGCCAGCGCACATGACTTACCTGGCAAGCATCATGGCCGCCAGCCTCGTAACCAGCGCAGATCATATTGCCGGTGACGACACTGATATCCCTGTACCAGCTGTTACACGTTTGCCTTTTAACGATGGGCACCAATGCTTGCTTCAACACACCAGAGTTTCCAGTGCCTAAAGTACGCACACAGCTATGAATAATTACAAATGCGGGAAACTACGCATGTGGAAAAGACCACAACAAGATTTGTGGATTTGTATGAGACGTATATGGGTAATTAGAAAGACTAATTTGGATGTTTATGCAGGCAGATAAATACGCAGAAGTATGTGGATAATTTATCAATCGCATAATCAAAGTATATACCTTCAGTATGTTATGATTTAAAAAACACATCTTAATAAAGGGCAGCATAATAGGAATATGAATCTACTAACACTAGATAGTAAACCCAAACTAGATGCATTACTTGAATGAAAAGTTCCCGGACGTTTTAACAAAAGAACTTAAGCCCAAAACGTGTTGTTCACTTTTACAATCGAATATTTTGTCTTTGTCAAAACAGAACAAATCCACAGTACTCTACGTAAATAAAATAACCATGAGTCTAAATAGACGTTATTTCTTTCCCTTTATAAAACAGGAGCGATATCGCATTTTAGTATACTACTGGTTATCTTGGGTCAAAGTTAATAATACAAACTTTAGTCAATATGTTAAGACCAACTTTGAGTCTAATTTTCTTGATTTAATATAATTATATTACCGAGCACGATTCCCCAGCCTGACACGTAACAAAAAGTGTTATCAGCGGCCACGGTCGTGGGCAGGCAGACGGGATGGACACGGTCAGAGAGAGTGACCGGCTTGGCCAGCTTGAAGAGGGTGATGTCATTGTCCCAAATGGAGTGGTCGTAATTCTCATGACGGATCAGCGTCTGAACCTGGACAATCTCCTCGTCAGGGTCGTTGTACTTTCTGTGTTTTCCGGCAGAGATGGACCAGTACCTTGGACTCAAGTTCCTAAAATTTTACAATGAAATGATAACTACACTCAAGATATAACCCTTATTGATGATTATGGAACCGTATATAGATTGTAGTTGTGTTTTTATCCGTTGAAAATACTGTTTTGAAAATATTTTTCATCCGCGGGCAGCGATTGTTGTGTTTGTGCATGCAAGTGCGTCAAATGTATGTGAATCAGAATAAAAAAGAACTGCGTTGTGACAGACTGTTATACCAAAGAAAAAAATAAGTGCTTACCGCTCTTCCAAACAATGAGCGGCAGTAGCGACCCACTGGTCAGAGATCAGACTTCCACCACAGATGTGCGAGCCTCTGTAACGCACGGACACCTGCCATGGCCAACTGCCTGAAATGGCCTCGGTTCCACCCACAATACGGTTGTTTCCAAGCTTAGCGTCTATAGCAGGCGTGCCGCAGCTTCCTTTGTTTACCGTTAATGACGAAGAGCCCATATTTTGATGATGTTAACAATATGTTACCCAATGTTAAGTAACGCACAAATAGTCAAATACCAACGCAATTTAATGAAAAGAAAATCCGAATGTTTAAATGATGTCTATCTGACGTCGAATTTGCATTACCGTGTAAATTTCCTTTTTCGTTTTTCAACGTCTAATGAGTTTTAAATTAAGTCAATGACTTTTAGTAAATTCAAATGAAGATCAAGGGGCAGCGAATGAAGCCGGGCACTAAATTTTGTATGGCGTTATAGGTGAAATGTTCCCGCCAAGCGGCCAAATTTCACTCTTCAAGTCGTTATAAAGTAATTTCATTTATACTTCCATTAGGAAGCTGATCTGTCTACTTACTTGGTGGATCCACGACAGTGTATCTGATAGAGAACCCACTTTCCACCTCCGAACGGTCACTGGTGAATGTCAGATAGAGGGCGTTGCCTGTGGTCGAGATCTCGTTTGGAGTACCCTTCCCGCAGTAATTCTTGATGAATCTGGCGCTGGTTGAACTGCCGTCGTAGACAGAGAGTTTGTCGAACCGGCAGCTGGTGCCACCCTCTTCTACAGCAAAGGCCAGGAAAGTGAGCTTGATGATCTTGCCGGCTGGGGCAGTGATTTTCCATTTACAGTTAGCACTGGTCAAAGAAGAAGCACGATATCAGCTGCCTGCATTTACTTTTATATAAGTCCAGGTATATATATCAGTTTCGCAACTATGGTTTCATAAAAATAACTTGTACTCATGAAAGAAATATACAAGCATGGAAATATGGAAGCATGGATCGCTATTCTGTTTTTATAGCCATAGTTCCATCTCATTTGATAGACTAGTTTCAGAACCAACCCGGGACAGCTTTTTAATTTTCAATTTTTCATACATCCCAACCTCCTGCGCATGAACGTTTGTCGCGCTACACACTTATGCTTTCTACGGAGCAACAAAATCTGGATGAGTGGATGCGCAGTAAATTTCATGCTAATTTGGCGCATAGGGTAAGAGTCCGATAAGCATGCATTTATGCAGATCTTAAAATTAACACGCCTGGACCACGCACCAGGTGTTCAGAGTACTCACTATCAACCTGATACTTACTTGTTGTTGTAATTACCAGTTCCGTAATTGAGAGATTTGATGACTCCAGTTGTACCTGTGAGGTCACGGTTCCCGCCGCACCCAGACTGGATGGACGTGGGTCTGGCAGTAGTGATTACTAGTCAAGAAAATAGATAAACATTTTCATAAAATCAATCTTTAATACCGATTTGGAGGCACATTTTTATTGTGTGAAATCCACATATTTCTATTCTGTAATCTATCTATCATCATTTCAATAAAATTTCCGCGTTTTTTACAGACTGATAACATACTGGCACATGTCATAACCTGTCCCTCTCGCTTGATGTGGTATCCATTGTTGCAAACACATATATATTCCTGTCCTCCGCGCGCATCACAGCTACAGTAGGCTCCGGTTCGACATTTGCTTCCACAACGGGTCGCCGGCGCTGGCTGGTATTCAAACTTTTGTTGGCCTGCGAAAGAAATGATAAGAACAGGACGTAAGTTTGGTTACTCAAACTTGTGAGTTGATCATCACCCGAAAACGTGAGTTAGTGCAAAACATCACACGTATCTGGCTAGATTTGGCTAATTGAGGATGTGTGCCAAGATTTCGACAGCTGTTTTGGAAAAAATAATAATTATTTTTATTCTAAACGCAATTAACGCAAATATTGTACAGAAAATATAAAAATTATGCGGTTGTTTTAACTACAAATATATTATGAGTTCTGAAGCAAATGCATCTATTATAATCATAAATCAGTAAATCCCATTATGCCCGTCTAGCAAACTGACAACGATATCATGTGTAAAAACGGCGTGAAAACTCACCCTTGTGAAAATATCGAGCTATGTCCCGAAATTGTTTGAATGTTTTAATGTCATATACTAACTTCTTCCCATTTTTGTCTGATGATGACAGGTCGTTTAAATTGCTTTTCTGCCACCTAGTGAAATACGCAAAAAAATCTTTCAAGACAAAATCAATAATAAACAGTATATTCTTCCTTCTCCAATCGAAGAATTACCGGAGTGTTGTGGCGAATTGATTTTAGGGGAAACATGACTCGGGTTGACTGGTAAAAGATAAATCAAATAATAATAATAATAATAATAATAATAATAATAATAATAATAGCAGGTTCTTTATGTTGCACGGAAGAGGAGAATCGGTTTGTGTCCGCCTTGAAGTCAAACCCTGTTGAAAACCTGCCGTTTTTCACAAATTTTATGGTAGCGTATTTTTCAAGATTTTCGACAAAAGAAAATGCTACAAACGGCCGATTTGGGCGCAAACTACTCCCTATTAGCAACGCGACTACCGTACTCAACCGAGTCATTAACACTGACTTAATCTCGCGTGAAAAGTGGAGAGTTATACTGATATATCAGGTAAAAATGACACTCACCGCCCCATTCCAACAGCAACAAACTCAACATTGCCCTTCTTCATATGATCCACAAGGAGTTTCGGGTCACCACCGATGTTCCAATGTCCATCGTTTAGTAGAAATACAACCTGAAATTTTCAAATAACTAGATTGTTAATTTAAACAGCATCTCAAAATATTGAAAGCATCTCATACGGGCATAATCTTCATTATTTACATTTGAAGTCGATGTAAGAAAGCTTGAGAGTGGTACAGGTGGATATTTTTGAGCCACTATGTCCAGGTAGTAATTGTACAAAGTGAATGTCGTTTTGGGCTTAGACATTTTTGTCTATGTTTTGGGGAAGTAACGCGAGGAATGGATTTTGTAAGTCGATGCAACTGTTTCACGAACAAGCCAAACCACGGAAGCAACACTGATAGGCGGATTGATCAACAACATTACTCTTTAATTAATTAAGCATAAAATATATGTCATTTTCTCAATACATACCTGTAGAGCACCACGGCCAGTATACCGCGCTCGGTCTAAATCCTGCTTTGCCAGGTAGAGCGCTTGATATATGTTGCTCATGCCTCCCCGATTGCGCACCTGGCCGAGCCTCGTTATGAACTCGCATTTGTCCGACATCTCGTTCAAACTAATGTGGACCCTGGCGTCGGTTCCAAATGTGATAATGCCGACCTAAGCAATAAAATTTATTTATTTATTTATTTATTTATTTATTTGAAAAGAAACAGTGGGTCATACAACCTCCTCCCTCATAGCTTTGGATGTACCCATCCTTCTCTTTACTAAAACAGAATAAGGACCAGAACGAAGCAATAACATGCCAAATGCTCGTTACTGCACCTTACATGGTAAAGCAGAATTGCCCTCCTCTCCAATTTATATTTGCTGAGTCATGCCAGGCAAAAAATCTTTGTTTTTTTTTGTTTTTTTGTTTTTTTGCCTTTCACCCTGGCAAAATCCTGGATCTCTGGTATCAAAGATAAGTTTTCTGTTAACCGAAGTTCTGAGTACTCAAGGTTTACTTCACCTAACCTCTTTTAAATAGATAAAAAAAGATAAACACGCGCCTAACACGTTAGAAGGTGTGTTTTCCAACACTTTTAGCAAGTTTGAAGTCTAGCTATCCAATCAGTTGCCGTACCTGAATCTTTTTTTATGAAATAAAGTATCTATCGTGAAGTAAAAGAAAAACCCACCTTTGTATATAGATATGCTTTGCTATGCTATGCTCCTTAATAAATAATTTATTTATGGATATCTTATCTAAACCGGACTAACACCCCCATTTTATGGAATGACATCAATCGTACTATATATTGAAAGTTTCGTATACTTTCTTCGCCCCCCCCCCCCGCGCCATCCCCTTTCTTCCAAACAGTATAATATGAAGACCAAAATAAAATCAATTTTGAAGTAAAAGAAAAACCCTCCTTTGTACCCATAGATATGTTTTGCTATGCTATGCTCCTAAATAAATTTATTTATTTATTTTTTCTCTTTTTCACAAACGCACATACACACATACCAAGCAATTTGCATCCATTTTCTCTTGCCCAGATGTCCCTGTCCTCAATCAACCATGCCATCCACCTACTGACAAACACACGCGCACACCCACACACACATTTCATACTATATATTTAAAGTTCCTTATTCTTTCTTCAACCCCCCCCCCCCAACTCCACCTTTCTTCCACCTAGTATGATATAAAGGCCATACTCTACCTGCGTGTACTGTGGCGCCACACTGAAATGTTCCAATATGTTCCTGATAAACTCCAACTCCGACTTGAAATCTTCCTCGGAAACGCTGTTAGACTCGTCTACCAGAAATATAAGGTCCACCACCTCCCTCGCCCGCCTGGAGGCGTAGTTCATGCTTCCCAGCATCTGATTTCCAATACTCTGGACCGTGGATAGGCCATTGCACCTGCAGAGTGGCCGGTCTGAATAAAACAGGATGACTATTGCCGCTACCAAACGGAAACATTCGATGTTCATTTTAAGGGCCATCTTACGAATTGCCTTCCAAGTTTTCTATGGACAGACGAACGTCAAATAAATCAGTGTATTTGTCCTATATTCTAATAGCTGTCACGGGGCTCCAGTCTATTTCCCTCAAACAGCTTAAATGCAAGAAGAGAATTGAAACCTTTCAGTCAGTATATGTAGTAAACGCGATTTCAAATGGACTCGCAATATCAGCCGTCTCTTATAAAGACAGCCCATCCAGCATTGCGCAAAAATGTTGGGTTTAGCTTAAAAAATAGGTCCGGGTTTGGAGAACTGGCCCCGAGCAGTTGGCCAATCAAACAGAAGATGCAATTGCCGCCTGGAAGAAGGGGAGACGGTTGGTACAGGGGGCTCCAAAAAGTTGACTTGGCAATTAAACTTCGGGGAAGAGGTTTAATCCGCTTATTGGCGCGTGTGGAGACGGGGAATCCATCAGGGGATTAGTCGACATTGCTTTTAAGTGGGTCGGCCATATTTGACCTGTGGATCTGTCGACGTCCAATGGAGACAGCTGCATGACCGAGATTGACAGTGAAGTAGTGTACTGGCTGGTTCCGTGGCTCAGTTGGTAGAGTTCTCGCACGCGGCGTGAACGTTCTGTCCACCACCCCTATACGACCTGAGAGGCGAGCTTCCAACTTCTCACGGCCCCACATATAGGAGACACAAATGTAGAAATTATCAACAAAGAATATACAAAGAATATATATTTTGCTTATCATTTTAAAATATGTCCTTTGCAATAAAGGTAAAGTTTCTTTGTCGTGTTTGGCGTTCAGAATGAACATCGAGATTCGCTTCGTTAGAATATATTGGAATAAATATAATTGTAATACATGTATTCCTTAGATGAGAGAATAGTAATAAAAAGGAAAACGTGAGAGTGATTTGTTTAATTTGTTTTGTTGTTTCTATGCGTTCAGTTACGTGTACCGTATGTCCACAGAGTTGAGATTTAAACTGTGAATATTATGCTTATAACTTCGGTTGAAATTGTAAGATAAATGAGGCGAGAAAAGTGCTTTGTTTACAAATACGTCCTGTTTTATCTTCAATAAAAATATGATTTAGTTAATATTTGCTTGTGAAAACGTCAAGCAAAATAAGTCAATGACGCCTAGAAAATTCAACATTCTATGCACGGTCGAAGTCTTGCCTGTTGTCATTCCGTTTAATAAACCAAAGACCAATTTTAGCATCACTGATTTACTTTCACTGGTTCACATAAGGTAATATTGCGAGTTAATTAAGCTACATTTAGCTTATATTTTGTTTATCATTTTAAGACGTTTGATAACGTTGAAGGGTTAAATAATTCACGTCAGCGTAATAAAACATTAAAACGAACTGAAAACAATCAATTCTGGCTATTTAGCTATATTTTAAATATCTTCAAGTGTTAATCTAAGCGACATTGTATTAAACAAAGCTTTAAACACATAAATCATAATTGCGTATTTACTGAAAAGCCAAATTACGTTTTCTGCTTTCGCTTTTGCTTGCGTTTAAATAAGCCAGCATGCTGGAATGAGATCCTATTTAGTCATTAACCGCAAAATCCGGGTTTACAGTTTCACGTGTTGGAAACGGGTTTCATAGAAGAAACTACCGTAAGTCGTAAAATAATCTTGACTTTTCAACGGAGAGCGTGTGTATACATTGATTTAAGATAAGTTTACTTAAGTAAAGCTACAAGCGATTCTTAAGCCTGCTTTAAAAATATGAGAAATGAAAAATGAGTCAACCACGTAAAATAACCTTATTTTCGTGGAGTACTTTAGATACACATGTGATTAAAATAAACTATAATTTTCTGTTTTCTAGTCCTTATTTGAAGACGGGTCCTGTTGATATTATAGGGGCTTGGAAACTTGATTCTGTAATTATAGCTGAGAAAGAAAAATAAAAAACGAAAGACATACACCAGAGACTTGACATGTGTTAGTGCTTATCGAACTCCTGTTTCCTGCAGACTTTTGGAGAATCGTGTTGTACTGGCAGTAAACAGGATGTGATCACTATGACTTAACTGCACCTTCACAGAGATACATGCATCGAAACAAGCAATTTGTGTTTGTGTGTGTGTGTGATTGTGTGTGTGTTTAAGTATGAAGGCTGAAAAGCCGGAAGAAAAGAACAGAGCACATATCCCAGCGCAGACACAACAATAGTTTTTAAAGTTACAAAGGAAATAAGTTTACATGTCCGGTGAAATAGTTGTCGTGGATGAAATGGAGCGTACCCTAAAATTCAGGGCTCAGTATGTTTTACTGTTTTAATAATAGATATCAAAGATGAGATTACATTGACCTCTGAAACTGGGGGTGGATGGATGGGTGCACAGAATCCAGGCGCACGTCCAACAACATTATATTCAAAAACTCACGAAAAAGAAAACAGTAGGCCTAAGTCTTGCGAAAGAGTTCCCAAAATGCACTTGTAATATCTAACAGAAAAGATAAATAGGTAACCTAGTTTTGAGGCCACAATTAGTCAATAGTTTTAGGCGGATATTGCATAGTTACTTTAAATCAAGATCCCAATGCCATTTTAATTATTATTTTGGAAATTGATTCCTCAACTGCACGTTTCGCAGGCGGGGTTAATTTTTGTAGATCCGTTTTCGTTAAAACTTGGTCGATAAAACCGACAAACTTGCAAACTCCTGTAGGGATGAGATAATGCCCAAAAGATACTAAAATATTCGTCAATATATAAAAAATAAACTTTTCCTTGATAATACAAAGGACGGGGTGGTGTCATTTGTCTGACTATCACACAATCTGAAAAATGGATTGAACTCTCCGTGAATAAAAGTTCCCACTTTTAATTCATAAAGGTTCAACAATGTAGGGTTGACTATCTAAAACTGCAAGTATAACTATCGACTTATTTCAATGTAATACCCTTTCATTTTTCAACACAAACAAGCATACCGTTACCAGTGTAATCACGTATGTATTACTTATCTGTCAGTTACCCCTCGCTCCACACAACTTGGAAGTTCAAAAGTGTATAAAAAACTATGAAATTTACTCTAAAATATATTGCATAGCCCTTAAATACAAGATACATTTTGAATATGCTGTTCACATTGTCAAGGATAACTTAACTTAAGGAGGACTTAAACGTACAGGTACATGTCAACAAACATTTAACATTGATTTTTATGCCTTCGATCTTCTATTATTCTTAACTGTGGTTTTGGATGGTGATTGAAAAATGTGCCCTTTGCAATAAAGGTAATATTTCTTTGTCGTGCTTGGCGTTAAGAACTTGTGGAAAACGAACATTGGGCTTCACCTTAGTAGAATTTAGTGGAATAAATATATTTGTAATACATGTATTCCATAGATGAGAGAATAGTAATAAAAAGGAAAACTTGAGAGTGTTTTGCATTTGTTTTGTTATTTCTATGCGTTCAGTTACACGTAGCATAAGGCCGCAGAGCTGAGATTTAAACTGTGAATATTATGCTAATAACTTCGACTGAAATTGTAAGATAAATGAGGCGAGGAAAGTGCTTTGTTATATGCCCGTTAACTACGACACCTACATTACAAATACGTTCTGTATTACCTTCAATAAAATACATAATTTAGTTAACATTTACTTGTGAAAACGTCAAGCAAAATAAGTCAATGGCGACGAGAAAAGTCAATATTTATGCACGGCCTAGTCAACTAAGCCAGGGAACTTAGTCGAGTTTTTTTTGTTTTTTTTTTGTGAAACCGGGACCTGGTCTAAAAAACTCACAATAGACCTCCCTGTAAAGACCCAATAGCTCAGGGAACTACTCGATTGGTACAGGACTGTTCCTTGTCTGACCGAGTTCGGGTGTCAGTTCGATTTTATTAATTTAAAAAGGTTGTTTTTAAATTTCGGAAATGATAAACTAAAAGATTTGAGGTTCAATGTACATGCACCGGTAGGAGAAATAAAGTGAGTGGATATATTTTGAGTTTGGAATTTCTGTTTCAGTAACCATTAAAAATATGTTTGACATAAATTAGAAGGTGATTATTATTATTATGATCATATTATCATTGCAAGTTGATAAGAAAAAATGTCAATTTCCCAAAGTCAATTCACAAAACAAAAACAATTAAATAATCTCACTGGCATAGTGTATGGCCAATTTATTTACAGATCTTTTTTAAAAGGTGCTACGCGAAGTCCACCATTATTTTATACGTGAATGTATCCTGTAAACCAACATTGATAATCAAAATTCTAGTGCTATCTGTCGTATGATTTATGCCCCATATTGCGTCATTTTCTGCTGGATCCAGTCCAAGTAGTTGACAACTTTAGTGTACACACCTGGCTTTCTGCGACCTAAATAATACAAATATTTATTTTAAAAAATAAATTAATCCTAATAAAATGACATAAAATAAAACAAAATAAAATAAATAATATTATTTGAAAGACAAAAAATAATATGTACATGTATGAATATTTTTAATACCATATATATTATACAAAAATATATACTGTATATATACAAATTATTCATATATCTCTCTCTCTCTCTCTCTCTCTCTCTCTCTCTCTATATATATATATATATATATATATATATATATATATATATAACAGCTTGATCACTTACCTGCACAACCTATGCCCCAAGACGTGATACCTTGTAGTTCAAATTTCTCGCCTGACTTGCACACCATGGGCCCACCACTGTCGCCCTTCAAATATAAATTCAATGATCATAAGTTTGGAACTGAATTCGATTTTTTTTTCTTTTTGCTCGCTTTCTGTCTGTTTATCTCTCTCTCTCTCTCTCTCTCTCTTTCGCGCGCACGCGCTTGATTGTTGAGTGTTGATTTTTGCTTAATTTTTCAGTTAAATTTCAGTGAAAGGTGACTTCGTTCGCCCAAAGTTATAAGTGAAATCGATTTCACATACGGTATTCGCTTCTCTACAAGCTATCGTGTAACAGTGCCTCAACATAACTAATACGTTTTTTTCATCCACAGTCAGCCTTGATATTCTAAAATCAGCCAGCCCATTCCTCAAACACACAAACACATGCGATCCAAAACACGCATTTACACACAAACACACACAAATTTCTTCTACGATACACATCCATACGTATGTATAGCAACGCATGCCCTCATATTCACAAAAGCTCACACGGGTAAACGCACATGCACACGCTAGCGCACACAACTTACCTGGCAAGCATCATGGCCGCCAGCCTCGTAACCAGCGCAGATCATATTGCCGGTGATGTCGCCGTAATACCAGCTGTTACACGTTTGCCTGTTTACGATGGGCACCGCTGCTTGCTTCAACACACCAGAGTTTCCAGTACCTGAATCAAGCACACAGATATGGATAATTACACATGCGGAAAACTACGCAGAGGGATGTGGATAAGAACACAGGCAGATGTGGATATGTGTTAGACGTATATGGGTAATTAGAAAGACGGATTTGGATGTTTATGCAGGCAGATACATTCGCAGAAATTGAAAATCACGTACACGTGTACGGATAAATACGCAGACGTGTGTGGATAATTCATCAATCGCATAATCAAAGTAAATACCTTCAGTATGTTCTGATTAAAAAAAAATCTTAATTAAGGGCAGCATAATAGGTATATGAACCTACTAACACTAGATAGTAAACCCAAACTCGATGCATGACTTGCACGAAAAGTTTCTGGACATTTTACAAGAGAACTTAATACTTGTATTTGAAATTACCTTGGGCCAAAGTTAATAATACACAGTTTCCTCCATATATACAGACCAACTTGTGTCTACTTTTCTTAATTTAATATAATTATATTACCTTGCACGGCTCCCCAGCCTGACACGTAACACACAGTGTTATCAGAGACCATGGTCGTGGGCAGACAGACGGGGTGGACACGGTCAGAGAGAGTGACCGGCTTGGCCAGCTTGAAGAGAGTGATGTCATTGTCCGTGGTGGCGTCGTCGTAATTCTCATGAGGGATCAGCGTCTGAACCTGGACAACCTCCTCGTCAGGGTCGTTGTACTTTCTGTGTTTTCCGGCAGAGATGGACCAGTACCTCGGACTCAAGCTCCTGAAACAATTCAATGATATGATGAACAACAGTCAGGATATAGCCACAGAGAAGAAATGTCCAAGATTATACATGTACTGGTACATTTAGATGCAACTGTGTTTAGCATTGATTTCGCTTCCCTTACTGATGATTAATGGGACCGTATTTAGATTGAAGTTATGTTTTATTCGGTCAAAAAACTGTTTTGAAAATATTTTCCATCCGCGAGCAATGATTACTGTGATCGTGCATGCATGTGCGTCAAATGTATGTGTAACAGAATATATAAAAAAAAAAACGCGTAGTGACCGCCTGTTATACCAAAGGAAAAAATAAGTGCTTACGAATCTTCCAAACAATGAGCGGCAGTAGCGACCCACTGGTCAGAGATCAGACTTCCACCACAGATGTGCGAGCCTCTGTAACGCACGGACACCTGCCATGGCCAACTGCCTGAATTGGCCTCGGTTCCACCCACAATACGGTTGTTTCCAAGCTTAGCGTCTATAGCAGGAGTGCCGCAGCTTCCTTTGTTTACTATAAATGTCGAAGAGCCCACATTTTAATGACGCTGACAATGTCACTCAAGGTTAAGTAACACACAAATAGTCAAATACCAACGCATTCTAATAAAAAGAAAAACGGAATGTTTTGGTTATGGTTAAACAGATTTTTCTTACGTTTGTACTTAATACGACTGATGACTACCCATTATTCACTCACCACCTCTCTCTCTCTCTCTCTCTCTCTCTCTCTCACACACACACACACACACACACACACAATTAGTGCGCTTGTCCTTACCGCACACCTCGTCACTTCCGTCTCCGCAGTCGTCTTTGCCGTCACATTTGAGGGAGCTGGAGATGCAGTTCCCGTTAGTGCAGGTGAATTGGCTGGGTGAGCAAGTCTCTGAAAGACAATTACACAGCCATGTGATTGCCATGAATAATCATAACGATGCTGGATATCTTCTAAAATATTGCCTTCGCATAAAAATAAATTCCGACGTCGAATTTGTTTTACCGTGTGAATTTTCTTTTTCGTTTTTCAATGCCTAATGAGTTAAGTTAACGGCTTTTAGATTAAAATTCAAATGAAGATCAAGGGGCAGAGAATGAAGTCACACACTCTTCTTAATTTTACACGGAGCTATAGGTGAAATATTCCCGCCAAGAGCTCAAGTTTCACTCCTCAAGTCGATTATAAAAAGTAATTTCATTTAGACTTCCATCGGGACAGCTTATCTGTTCACTTACTTGGTGGATCCACAACAGTGTATCTGATAGAGAACCCACTTTCCTCCACCGCCTCGTCACTGGTGAATGTCAGATAGAGGGCGTTGCCTGTGGACGAGATCTCGTTCTGAGTACCCTTCCCGCAGTAATTCTTGATGAGTCTGGCGCTGGCGGAACTGCCGTCGTAGACAGACAGTTTGTCGTACTGGCAGCTGGTGCCGCCCTCTTCTACAGCAAAGGCCAGGAAAGTAAGCTTGATGATCTTGCCGGCTGGGGCGGTGATTTTCCATTTACAGTTAGCACTGGTCAAAAAAGAAGAACAATATCAACTGCCTGCTTATACTTTTACATAAGTCGAGGTATATAAATATATTAGTTTCGCAACTATGGTTATATAAAAATAGCTTGTACTCGTTTCATAAAAACAACTTGTACTCATGAACGAAATATACAAGCATGGGAATATGCAAGCATGGATCGCCATTCTCTTTTTTATAGCCATAGTTCCATCTCATTTGCTAGGCTAGTTTCAGAACCAAAGCGGGACAGCTTCTTAATTTTCAATTTTCCTTACATCCCAACCTCCTGCGTATGAACATTTGCGGCATTTTGCGTAAAGTTTGTCGCGCTAAGCACTTATGCTAGATACCTTTCAACGGAGCAACAAAGTCCAGATGAGTGGATGCGCGGTTAATTTCAGACAAACCTGCCGCATAGGTCAGAGTCCGATAAGCATGCATATATGCAGATCTTAAATCAAAAAGACTCACTATCAACCTGATACTCACTTGTTGTTGTAATTACCAGTTCCGTAATTGAGAGATTTGATGAGTCCAGTTGTACCTGTGAGGTCACGGTTCCCGCCACACCCAGACTGGATGGATGTGGGTCTGGCAGTAGTGATTACGCGTTGGGTGGTGGGTCTGCGGGTGGTAGGGGGGACGGTGGGGCGCGCAGTGCTGGCTGTTGTATGAATTATTTGAACAATACTTTAAAAAACGTGCATTGTACATTTTCTTTAAAGGATTACATATATCACGAATGTCAACTGTATAGATAAACATATACATAAAATCAGAACCTTTAATACCGATTTAGAATTCCAATTTTATTGTCACGAGTGAATTTAAATCCACCAGTCTCCATCCGTATTTCTATTCTGTCTATCGTCATTTCAATGAAATTTTTTAACAATATATCATAGTCTTATCATCATTATCAACGTTACTGAGTTCCACTAACCTGATGCTCCTACAGCTGACCAAGTCATCTTAAAGCCGGTCTTCTTCACGGAGTCGTCGCTGTTGAATACGACCACCACCTTATTACCGGAGGAGTATACTGGGGCGGGGGCAGTCTCTCCACACAGACGTGCTGAAATACAGCGAATCAAATGGCAAGGTATGAATACACAGAGTAATAATAAAACACAAACGTAATCTGTAATCTCATCACATTCGATTTTCTTTTGTGCGAATTCAAGACAAATAGATATTGTCAAGGCACACACATGCTTTCTTTATTTCCCCCAGTTGTCACTTATTTTCTCCAAATACTGTCAGACTTACTGATCTGATTCGAAGGACTCTGCGGGTAGTCGAAGATTGTGAGAGTGTCGTAGTTACAATTACCGCCGGCGTAACCTTCTATGTTGAATGTGGAAGCGAATTCCATTTTGATTCTCTGAAATGATTAGTTCCAATATCTACTTCGACTTTTTTAAATATTGACAAAGTATGGAATTTGCAACGGCAATTGGACTTCTATCTTAACTTTTCTTGTAAATGTGATTTTCAATAAACAACTATACGAGCTTTTCAAGGAATGGGTTTTGCAATTAAATGTTGCCCAATACTTCCCACGTCTCTTTCTTGTAGTCAGCAAAAGAAATTCAATGTTTACAGAACATTGTCTAACTATCACCTGCAGTTTTTTTTTATCAAAGCGTTTTTTCACATTTTCTGTAACATATTACTAACAGTTTTGTATTTCGAAGTACAGCATGGATGTATCACACTCAACCTGGAACTTTGTCATTGTCATATTTTCTATTGTCACATTAGTAATATCACATGATTGCGCATACAAAGCGTAAAAGCAAAATACACTTCCACCAAACTGTATGTGTATGTATATGTATTGCAGTGTTTCATGTCTTATATGTACAGTACACAAAGAAAAATTTAGAAATTAATGAAATTATTAAGAACGTTCACTGAAAAAAACAACCCCAAATGTCTTACCATTCCGCTGGGAACGGTGATGGTCCACCTGCAGTTGAGATCGTTAACGTAGCGGCTCGGGTAGTTAAGACTGTTGATGGACCCGGTGGTCCCACTCTGGTCGCGGGGACTTCCGCAACCTGAGTCAACGGCCAAAGGTCCTGCGGTAGGTTTGATGGTTGTAACAACGGGAGCAGCAGTCGTAGCTGTGAAGAGATGTGATGCTTTTTTTAGACAATTACCGCCTTCGTGACTATGAAGAAACAGAAAGGGGGACCTCGTATGTGGATTTATGGTGTAACGGATGGTGTTCGCCATTTTCTTGAAATTACCAAACATCACTACATGTACTTAGTGCTCGTTTATCTACTTTCAAATATTGTGCACAGGAACTTTTATCGTATGAAAGCAATGCAACACCGATGCTTCACACACTACTTACTATCTCTTGCTCTCCAGGACAAGCTGAATCCAGCCTCGTGAACGCTCCTGTCAGACACAAATTTCACAATGACCTTGTTGTGGAGAATACCAATGGAGTTGGGGGCTGTCTCTCCGCAGTATCTGCCTAAAAAGTGGCACAGAATAACATCCTTCATACATTGTAGTTCAGTTTTACAAAATCTAACGTTACTTATTCAAACAGTGTAGAACATGTTTTCATACACTGTAGATTTTAAATATAAAGGTACATGTGCCGGTATATCGTTTGATAGAGTATGAGATTGTTGTTTTCACTACAAACAAACACATGATCTCAACCATAAAACGATGAAACACATCCGGTACGTGAACTTAATTCCGAGCACATGGTTAGCTTACCGATTTCTGTTCCAGTAGATACCGATCCAAGATAGATGGCCACATAATCGTACTTGCAGTCTCCGCCACTGTACCCCTCAATGTTGAATCGGGAATCAAAGGAAATTACCATTGTCTAAAAGAGCAACAGAAACAGATTGAAAGTAAATACCTTTTGTTACCTAAATGTATAACGCACGCTTTTACGCAAGATGCTAAAATCAAAAAGTAGTGCCTACCAATTTGTCAATTTGCCTCTTTTAAAATTTGCCGTTTTAAAACCATCGTGATTCACGTTAAACAATCTGCTATTTGCAGTGAATTTAAAAATATGCAATTCCCAATTTTCTGGACGTAAATTATTTATTTATTTATTTATTATTATTTTTTTGTAACAAGTATACAACATGTGGGCCTAGTCGCAGAGTCCTTAACTGTCCCTCCCAATCAGAGATTTCCAGTCACTATGAGCTGTTAGTCCTGATCCTCAGCTATCAGAATGCCATTAAACAAGGGGCAGTGCCATTAAACAAGGGGCGGGTGGGGCGTATACCTTCCCAGCTGGCACTGTTATCTCCCACTGGCAGTCGGCGAGGTCGTCGTAGGCGTTAGGGTAGTTGGAACTGGTAATGGTTCCCGTGAGACCAGTCTGGTACTTGGCACTGCCGCATCCAGAGCTCACCACCGGGGAGGCTGAACACATTCACAAGTCAAAAATCAATTAAAAAAAGTTATTCCAGAATTAAGAGGAAACTACATGTAGGCCTACCGATCCTTTTTATGGTACAGACAAGATTTTTTTTTCTATAGGTTAATTTTTGCGCCAAATATTTTATGCATTATTACACCACATACTGCATGTATTGTTTTTGTATATTATTGTATACCAATGTTCTTTACTTACATGTAACACCTCCACCTACGTAAGTTATGGTCAACTTGAAGCCACTGGCCACGGTGTCGTAGTCAGAGTGAAACTTGATGAAGATGTCGCTCTGGGTGGTGTAGAAGGTGGGAATAGACCCGGTGCCGCAGTAAGTCCCCAGCTCCGTGGCCTTGTCGCTGTCTCCATCGTAGAACGACACGTAGTCGTAATCACAGCTGTAATATTTGACATCTGTTCAGACCCATTCTTTTCATATTTTTATGTTGTTATTGTCAAAATATTATTTATCCCATAGCTATGATAAAGGTTACATCTTCCAAATTTATTCTGGTATGTACCAGAGGCAATGCTATAATGCGGTATTAATTTTTATTATTATTTTTTTAATTTTTGAAAAATTTAAAGTTCAGTACGTTTTTTTTATCCACCTGATCAAATAGGATGAGTGCATTAAAATTACCGAGCAATTACAAAACTAGTTTTAATGTATTCTTTTTTTTACATTAAATTTTAAACATGTTGCCTTTCTTAAAAACCATAGCCCTCACTTTGAATCATCCTCAAGGTCAAAGTTGTTGACCTCGACCTTGATCAAGCCTCCCGAGTAACCTTGTAGATGCCACGTGCAGTCCATGTCGTTGAAGTAGTTTCCTGATCCATACCTAGTGTGTGACACTAAGATGGACTTACCGCCGCTAGAGGTGACACTGCCACACTGCGACGATTGGGCCTGAATACCTATGGAATACAGGTAGAAATAAAGAAGCGGTTTCAAAAAAAAGATACTTCATGGTATATATTACCACTTCATGGGATAAATGCCCTGATTTTACTGACAAGTCGACTTCATACAGAGACCTCTACCTTCAGGGGCAAGACATACATTCTTTCTACTGTGTACACACCACTACTATAAACCTGCTCCGTCAATAAAATTACACATGGTCAGCTATATGTCCTAGTTTAAAGGCAGGCAATGTGTTTATTGATAGACTTTGTTTATCTTACTGTACAGGTTCCCGTTAGAGCCAATTATGTGTGTCCCTGACGCTGCTTTATTTAAATTGACACCCCTACTTTAAAATATATTGCCTCCATTCGAGGCACATTTATCTCAGTCCTCAGTGTAACATCATCTACATGTACATATTTTTTGTAAATGTCAGTTAAGGTCAGAAAGTTCCATTTGTGACATTTTTTTAATGACTCTGGTCACCTACAGCTTTCACATACATGTATAACAGTTCCCAGCACATGTCAAAGCAAACACGTGTTCCTGATTCTTTGTACAATAAATATATATACAAGCCCAACACTTCAAAATAAACTTTCGTAGAAGACAGAAGCATTGTTTTTGTCTCTCCCTTGAATTCTACCTCAAACGTCAAGAACTCGAGAGTAACATGAGATGGGGAAGCCCAGCTGCTAGGCAGTGGTGATCCTAGCTATGCTATCCGTAAGACACAATTTCTTTCCTCTCTGTATTTTTTACACTTGTGTGTGGACACCCCTGGTCTCTGAGTCAGTTGCTTTCTTATTTATGTAGTTTTCTATATTGGATTATTATCCTCTTGTATTTTTTAAGTATCCTGTCTATTGTGCATTTTGGAGATTCTTTATTTAACTTCATGTGGACTGTAAACGACGTGTGAAATGGAGGAATCAGGAAAAAAACCCAACAGGAGAGTAGAACAATTCTTCAGTGACTGGGATGAACGAATTAAACAGGACGTTTTGAGTAGCCTGCTTAAGAATGTTGAAAACAACAGCTTCAATAAACTCGAACGAGATAAAATACGCACTGTCATGAGAGTGATTAACGTTACTTCCCCCAACAGCAAATATACGTGTCTCTCTCGACATTATTGTCTAGAATGAAACATGATATCGACCTTTTCGCCTAATTTCCACACCCAACCAGAAATGAAACATGTTTTGCTACAAATGTCCCAAGAAGTGGTAAATATCGCAAAGTCGCCTGAGGGTACTTATTTTTTAACCAATGAAGTAGCCTTCTATCATGAAGTAGTAATGCTTATCTTATGAAGTGGTAATATACCATGAAGTACCTTAACAACCGTTTTTAACTGAATGCCATCTGTTTAACCTTTGTTTTTGTTGTCAATGGGGGTATGGATAACGTCGAATAAATTTTCAGTTATAAGCTTTCCAAGGAAACGTTGAACCCAGGAACTCTTGCATGCAAACATGACAACCAATACACGTGTCCTACATAATTAGGGCTTAACTTGTTGTTCTAATACACTAGCAAGTTATTCGACGTTTGACCTCATGCTGTGTGCGAAAACACGAAATGGTTCATTTGAGGGTTTCCTGCACTGAAGACGCAGTGGTACATCCTGGTGAATCTTTGTCAAGGAAGAGATCTACTTAAAAGATTTTTTGCAGACCAAATTTTTTTTAACAATTAAAACGTACGAACAATCCATTCGGGTTCTTAAAACGTTTTTTCCATTAGATTTTGGTTATTCGGTGAAAGGCAAAATGACTAATTTGTAGAATAACTAGACTTTATCTTGAAGTGAGACCTAGATGACTCATTTGTCGTTTTTTCAAATAAGTGCATTCGCTAGCAGTGGCTTGAACCAGGAACTCTTGCTCTAAACAAACTTCAGACTTTAGACCCTGACATCATTTAATATACAGACTTGACATTTAATATGGAATATTTCAGTTTCGAAGGTATACCTAGGTAAAAATGCGTTCTTTTTTCAAAAAACTAGGAACTCATATAAGATTTGTGAATGTAAAAGTGTGTAGTCAGGTGTGTCGCTACCAATTAACTGACTTTCATGCCTGTTGCGCTGCTACATTATGTTATTTGCAGCGATTTAATTGGATAGTGTTCCTTTGGGCTGGTCAAAGCTTGGCTTAGGCAAAGCTTGGTTCTGCCAAGAAAGTATCCATATTTCGGCAACTACTGCATAGAAGAATTTGAAATTTTGCATGCAAGCGGTCAGTTTTGCAGTGCGTAAGATGAGCCAAGTAGTGCATTACAAATTTGTTAATCTAAGGCAGAATGGCGCGAAAAAGACAGACATTACCAGAGAGTTCATAGCGCCAAACGGAACGGTCCCCACAGTTTTATAGAGTAATGCCCAGATTGATGTACCTACATTGAGGTCACCCCCAATGTATCAAAATCTTACCTACAGGGTACAGGACCCACGGTCTTTCGGGATACGCTGCTGCAACTAAACAAAAAACACTTAGTCCGCTCAGAACGAGGGGTAAATTGCCACCAAAATGCGTTTTTCAAAGCCCTTAGCGAACACCAAACTGGTTTTAGCAGGTAAGAACACCAAACGACCTCCGAGGCACCCACTGTAAACAGCAAAGCATCGTCGTCTGTTTCTCTAATGAATTGGGGGCCATGACCGTTTCTGGGTAAAACACTGAAACTGCGTGGCTTTCTTAATTGAGGTCAGATTTCACCTGTACCGCCCCATTAGTCAAAACAGAGTTTACAGATATCCAGAAGAGGCCTACGACGAAGCATATGCCGGCTCTAAAATGACAAGGGTGATTGACAGCGTCAGTATTTGGAGTGGATACCACATTGGTGCCAAAACACCAATGGTAGTCATCGACGAAAACCTGAACCAGATCAAATTAAGCAATAATCTCGGAACCACTTGACTATCATTTGATAGGGGTCACCTAAGGAACAATTCTAGGTTGCACGGTGAGGCTGCAGGTTCACATAGAACACTTTTGATAGCAGATAACTTACAGAACCAAGGGAATGAGCAGCTACCCTGGTCATCAAAATCGCCACATTTGAACCACATAGACAATATCTCGGTAGGCCATTACTCGCCGAATCAACTGCCTACATGTCCTACAACAAAACTGGACCAGATTGGACAATTTTAGACCGATGCCTGGAATATTATTCCAGATTGAACCCTAAAAACCTACCCCAAGGGATGCCTTGCCGCTTAAGAGCGCTGGCAACATCCAGAAGAGGCCAGGCGTAACAGCGACCATTACTGTGGCTAGCAACTGACATGAGGGTCTTTTGTGGAGCGTATAACCCTTTTACAGACAATAATTTGGAAAATATGGAGATCCAAAATATCTCTTTTAATGGAAGTCGTATGACATAGAATAGGCAATGTGTTTTTGTTTGCTTCTCTGGCGAACTCCATTAATGAATTGATGTCACAATGACATCAAAGAGATAATTTAAAGTTATTAAAACACGATTTTAATCCTTATTTTCATTTGTCAGTCAGCAAAATAGGAAAAAACTGATAAAAAATTATTTCGAAAAAAATATTCCATATTAAATGTCAAGTCTGTATATTGAAATGTCAACTGTCTAATCTATAAAATATTTTTTGCTTTCAGTGCTTTTCTCCGTTTTTATTTAATTTATGTTTACAGTGTACATGGAAATAAAATCTCAGCAGAGATGTGAAAATTCATACTATGAAAATAACAAACATACTGACAGTTACCATCAGAATGTTTAACTGGCGCGTCTAATAAAAACTACATGTTGATTTGTGTCAGATTTAATCGAACCATTGTTAGCGAACGTGCATCAATCAGTGCATGAGTATTAATTTTTATTTTGAAACGCAACGGTCAATAATTTAAAACAATGCCCTACCTGCAAACAATCCAAGCAACCCTAGAACAAATAGAAGACCCATGTTGACGGCGATCGTCCTGTGGGCTCAAACTGAAGTGGTGTATATAACGTGGGGCTGTTTTCTTAACGGCGTAAGCGGCCTCGGCACGAGGGAGTGCCCCTGAAGAGACGCAGATGCCGTGACGTAACGATTGTCTCACGAGAGACTCATGTCATAAAGGTGTGGGTCTGGAATTAAAGGTTATAGGGAACATATCAGTGATCTGATCGATCGCAAAATTTGGCCCAGCAAGTGATATAACTATACTGTATTTCAAAGCTGTCAGCTAGCCCTGCTTTATCCAGTTTGCCATGCAGCTTTTGTTGATATCAAAACAGCCTATATTTTCCATGTGTAGGTAGCAAATGTCGGTATTTTGACAAGTGGTTTAAACAGATGTCAACATGACATAATCCACCTTTCAGTGGAAGTTATTGGTTTGTTTTCTTTAATGAAATCTAGCTTTTTAAACAGAAGAATGGTTTTAAACAAGGAAGTATAACACACTATTGGATTTATTGAAGTACAGTTCCCTGTAAGCTAGGTTCAAATTTAGCTGGTGTCGCAAATATCAACCATAATGAATGCGAATGGTGCGGAAACTGTAAAATTTCTCTCACGATAAATTCACGTCACACTCAAGGAAAGAAAATTTGCTTCCCGCTGGACACCGTGTAGCCCCCGTGTTATTGTAAGAACTAAAATATTATTTATCAAATTGTTATCGCAGTTTTAGTACAATAGTTATAGTTTGTTAGGTCATAGTCATTCTAAAATGTATGTGTACAAAATAAATAAATAGATGGAGAAAACGTGTATGACAGTCCTCTTCCCCCATGTCTTGAGATAATTCTTAATGGTCACTCAAATGTCTGTGTAATTCTGTTAAAGTCACGAACTTAGACCACAGATAAACTGGACAGGTCGGAAAAGAGACTAGCCTGCCACTGTTCACGTGCGTGGAGATTAAGGCTCATTCCACATGAAACATTCGTTCTACATAGTTGGATCCACCTCCGCGGGGAGTCTCGCTGAATGCAATCAGGCGAACACACCTCCTTTTGTTTCCAATGCAGTCGTATGATGACCAGCTTTTCTGTATTGTAATCAACGCCAGGAGGAGGCTTGTTAATTTGTTTGTCTGATTTCATTCTACATAGATAGTTTTTTGGGGAATGGGCCCTTAGAAACCATTAAGTTGATGAACACAAACCTGTGGTCTGGTGGTTGCTAGGTAGCTGGAGTAATATTAGAAGGTGGTTGTTTTCCTGATAGCCCCCGCGTACGTGTCACAGTGTATTATATATATTATACGTTTTCTCTTTGTCTAATTCGTGTAAACCTTAGAATTTGGTTTAACTCTCTTTTTATATCTTGACAATCCCCCTATCTCTATTAACGTCCCTATGTAATCCATCCTGAGCCGGACACAAGTTAATATAGTTTTGAAATATCTAATGTACCCTTTTTTACTATTCATTATAAATAATTGTAAACCGTTAAACAGTTCATTTATTATTTTGTTTTACCTCACAAACTGTTGCAAATTTTCTTCTCGTAAACTTTGTTATCACTTAATAGGTACTATCTCTTTTCCTCTTCTTTCTTTCTGTGCTTAACTGGTGCTCCTGATATATATGAAGTTTTACATTTACTCTGTTGTATATATGTATATACATGTACCTATCCATTTGTTTTATTTATTTACTTATTTAATTTAATTTTGTGGAGAGCATATAATGCTTCCAGCGCCTTGCCTCCACTTCATTCTTTTGAATAAACGTTGTTTAAAAAAAAAAACCTCACAAAATAAGCAAACACCAACCAGGTAAATAATGAAAAACGAAAATTAAAGAATGTGTCATTGAATCAATATATCCACGTGTCTTCAAACCATCACGTGTCAGTTGATTGTGATAAAATGTGGATGGAGGGATAGGAAATGAACAGACATCAATAGTACCTAACCAATATATGTTTTACTCTTTTATCTTTTATAGTCAAATAACGCATTTTAGGAATGTTTTTTAGCACATTTTTACCGCGATTCGTTGCCATCGACAAACGTGAGGAATGTTTAATTTCACCTTGGTCGCAAACCGGGCATACCGCATAGTATTCCAATACAGCTGAAGGTTTTAACAATGGGGAATTCTTGCACTTTCTGGCATTGCAAGGGTTTCGTTACGTGTATTTTGTAGCTTTTTATAAACTACCTAAACGTCCAGGAATCTCTAAGTTTAGAAAAAAATTCGCCCCTAAAATTGCTACTACGCAGTTGTCTCTTCCTGATAATCGTCGCCCATTCAATGCGTCGCATGGAGTAGTTATCTAATGTTTAAATATATCCATCATATCTAAATACGATAAAATCTATTAGACCTATGCACCCAAGTTCATGAGGCATCATTTATCGTGATATGCTGCAAGATGGTAGAGCTCACACGCATCTTAGATTTTAACACGTACTGCCTACAGCTACTATGGAGGATTAAATTAACCGTATGACATTAAAAGACATTTATGTCTCCTCCATCCCAGTGCATCACAAACTTGCATAGTCCCGTTCATAGCAAAAGAGAATGCAACAAAGACTATCGGGTGTTCGTGATTTGGCCAAACAAGGCCGCTTTTATTATATAAACTTACTATCCTAATAATTTTAACAATAATAACAATGTGGCAAATTGTTGCCTGCATTAAATGTTATGGCCTTAGGAATAAAAATTAAATATGAAATATTAAACAAGACTCATCATCCTAAAAATAATGATGTGACGAGTCAGCAAAAGTACATAATATGTTGTAAACGTGCCGTAACGGTTCGAAATATCGATGAACTGCTGGAAAGGTCTCATCGAAGGAAAAGCCGATGAAATTTTCTGAACTGAAGATTTAAGTTGAAAGTTGGAGATAACTTGTAGCTTCTATGTATCGTGCGCGACAACGGAATGAGCGCAAAATGGGTCAGGCAGTGACGTCCCATGGTATAAGTAGCAACATGTGCCTCAATTGGGACCACCCCTCTAGGTAGAATTGAGCATGTGCAGAATGCGCATGTGCGTAAATAAGCTCTGGAGATTGTTGTCGCCATAAAATATCGTTTGACTACGCCAAACTTTCCTATAAACTTAACTTTTTACTTTACAGAACATTCAAAACCCTTCCCAGAAGATGCTAAAGACATGATGATTTTGTTTTGTGAAACAAATCATTAGAAATATAGAAATATCTGCACCGTTTATCTCTGTCTCCATTCTATTTGAGGTTTTTAAAGACATCTGTTCTTGAAGATCGGGTAATAAATCACACCTAAAGCAATCCAGGCTGGAGAAGGCGGCGGAAGACGCGGCGCTGAGAGGTGTGACTTATGTGTAGTCATATGCATGGTGGGTGGTTGTATAATGAACTTCGCGCCGAGAGAATTCTCTAACACCCATAGAGTTATGAATTATTCATATAATAACTACATGTGTACATTTGTTTCATGTGCATTTATTACAATATTGCTATGTAAGAAAACTTACTTGTAACACAGGGTTGGAGGCCTTTTTACAGAAATTGAGTCTATTTGCACATTAACTTAACTTTAACACCCATGTTTTCTGATGAATCATCTGGTCATTTGTTGAATAAGTTATATGGTTTCTTATAATCGCTGTTTTCACCCTGGCATCTGAACATAAATCGCCTGATAAGTGTCAGGATTTCCTACGGCAACGCAAAACCTGGAAGTATGAAACTCATTTATTGGGTAATTGAAAAGTAAACCATAATTCTCTGAGACTTAGTTGACACGTAACATAGTTTCATCGATTTTTCGAGGAATTCATTTGTACAGAAACCTCGACACTATTGGCCATTGGTTTAAGTTTGGTTTTTTTATTTTTTCTTTTCACAATGATCACGGAATGACCTAAATGCGACATTATTGAGTACAGCATGAATAGTTGTACAAGTGGTTGTACGACGTGAATAATTGTTCTGAAATTTACATTTTGCTCATACACATATCTTTTAAAACCTGCGATTTTTGTTTTTGTTCCCACACATTTCATTACAATCGACCTGTTTGACATTATCTAGACTTCGACATTTTTTTTACTTTATAACCTCAAACAAAAAAGGTAAACATTTGCATTAACTCAAGGCAAATGACAACTCAGCCGTCAACCGATTTATAGAGTGTTTCAAAGCAGTGTGCATCGTACATGATATATTGTACCACTTAAACCAGTAACTGATGCAATAGACCCATTTTGCCCAGATAACAAAGCTATTAAGCTTAAAATTGCATAAGGTTTAAGTGTTTTGCGTTTGCTTTTACGTGGAATCTATCTGAGACGTAGATACGGAGTGCAAATGTCGGTAACATGGGGTGGAATTTTCACCATTTAAAAAGCCACTTAAACACACATTTAGGATACAAACGTACTTTTGCATCATTGCCTTAAGTCTTTATTATTATTCATTAATTCATTCTTAATTTAAGGAGCTAATTGTGCTATTGCAAAATCAAATATTATAGCCTCAATCGACTACTTTTAATGGAAGGCATTCCGGAAGATTAATAAATTTTGAGAATGCAAACAAAGTTTGAACCATGTGAGTCTCTCCTCGGCAACCAATTAAAACACACAACAATCTTAGTTCAGATGATTTTGCATTATATTGCCACAAGAACACGGTAACATGAATCACGGTTCACAAGTATGAGCTCTACAGTGTAACCTATGGCCTACAATTGGCATTACATTGTTGTTTGCTGTCTCAAATACCAATATTTGCTGGCGCAACTCTATTTTGCTTTTCAGTTTGAAAAACTAATGAAATGTACCAATAAAAAAACTAGCAGGTTGTGTTTGTCCTGTTAATTAACATGCGAAAGGAAACAGCCTTTCAATTGATGTGGAGAACACAGCTCGGTGAAATGTATTGATCGTTAATGTAACAGCCGTTGGTTAGGAAGCGGATGCAAAACCCTCGTTCTTTGCTTGGTGAGAGTTTGGTGAGAGTTTGGATAGCTTCTAACCTAAGCTGTCATTGCATCAACATAAGTGTAAACGTAGCTGCAATTGAGGACAGAACTCTTGAAGGCATAGCAGAAGCTGGTCTCGATTGGCTGGTCTGAAAGCGTACAAGAATATTGGTTCTTCAGTTTTGTTCGTGAGGACAAAAACGCCCTCAGCAAATTCATTATAACCGGTACGTCTTGCAGTAGCAGCTGTATAACAAACATAACGTAACCCCGCGTCATAATCGAGCTTCTTTGTTCGATATCTTGTAGTAGAAAGCATCTGAGGCCACGGAAGTACCACCTTGGTGAACTCAGCGTGTGGCAAAAAATCAAAGTTTCTAAGGAAGAAGCTATCTGCTGCATATCACAACGATAATCAGACCTTGGATAAAGATGGAAGACAAAAAATGCAAATATGTCAAACTTGTGCGGGACCAGTGTCTACAAAAGGGTGTTGGCGGCATCAAAGCGCTGTCCGTTGCCTTCCGTCACATGGACGTTGACTATTCCAAAGCCATATGTCTGGAAGAACTTAAAAGAGGACTGCAGCGATACAGAATTAACCTGAAGGACGAGGAGATTGAGACGCTGTTCAGTACGCTAGACAAAGACCAAAGTGGACAGGTAGATTTTGCCGAATTTATGATTGCACTTCGACCCCCCATGCCCCAGGCCCGCATTGACGTCATCAACGAGGTTTTTGATATGCTGGACACTTCAAGAGACGGAAAACTTGAAGTCAGCGATCTCAAAGGTAGGCTAAACGGTGCAATTGGGCGCACTATTCCGCTGGTGTTATCTAGAAATCTAGTTGTTGTTTTATTCATATTATATTCTTTTTACGATCTCGTATCATGGATATGATATTTGTTTGCACCATTGCAATCTAAAAGTATCAGCAGTGCTGTTGTATTGCCCAAGGGATTTATTTTGGTCGGCTGTGAACAGAATCATGATGTATCTAAATCGAATTAGCGTTGATGTACATGTTTATCAGACATAAAGAATCACTTTCCGTCAAAGCCTCATTCACTCCCTTCTGGTCACCTTTGAGAGTCGGAGCCCGTGACATTTATACTTTACAATTTCGAACCTGGATCAATTCCGAACCTGCGGTATAACTTATCACACCTGGGCATTTCGAATTTCTCTCCAGAGAAAAGGCTTACATTGATTACCAGGTACATGTAACAGAAAACCATACGGACTTTCTCGAGACTGATTCTGTTATGTCTACTTCATGTAGTAACCATCCATACAAAGAGGGATATCTAGGCGCATATGCACATCGTTTTAATCATGACGTTACACAATTGCAAATCCGCCGTGTTTGGTTTTCGTTGCGTTTTCACGTGTATTTTTTTTTTCCTTTTTTTTTTTTTTTTTTTTTTTTTGGACTGGAACTTCACTGCTTCAAAGTAATTGCCATAACAAGGGTAATAACGTTTTGCACTGTAAGCACCAATAGCATTCACTATAAACGTACAAAACACGGTGTTGAAGAACAAGCCTACCAGTTTTGCCCGTATTTTTCACATAACCACACGCTGCGATAGCTTTCTTATTGATAAATTCTACGGGAATATGAATCGATACCAAGAAATACCTGGCGAAAATATTCCCTGATTGTATTGACCTACTTGACTTCAAAACATTGTGGGGTGTTTAATTAAGTGACGTAACAACGTCAGATGCAATGGATTTTACAATTCATAACTGCATTAAAGCGCCCATTTAATTATATTAACACGTGACAATTAGTGTTGTAATATGATAATTTATTCGGCATTAGGTGTGATACAAGCTGAATCTAGTCCCATAATGTAAGTGCTCCATGAAGTCAAATATTGCTCTTAATTCCAAGACCAAATTTTTGGTCTATTTTGAACGAGAATAAATCAAAAGCAGTCATATTAAAAATTAGGTTTTTGGGTCTATGAAAAAAACACGGAGTGTCTCATCGATAGTTTCCAGATGAGGACTAGACAGATTGATTCTAAATCGAAGTCGACTGTATTTTATTTGATTTCATTTGTAAAAACAGCTTTTAATTTTAGTTCTTTTATAAACTGGACTTGGACAGCCCACATTTCTTTACTCTTCTTCAAAAACATGGTTCCTTTCGTAGTATTATAGCTGGCAATATTGTTCTTGGCCAGTGTGTTGTCCTGCATTTACTTTCCTCATTTAAGAAATATGAACCCAGATAGAAAGACCAATTTTGATACCCACTGATAAAAATGTGTACTCCACATGAAGTTTACACGCACTAATTGTAGAATATGACTGCTATAGAAATTTGATTTTGTACCACCACTTACATGTACAAAGTATTATTGCGGATTATATTTCAATCTTTTGTGCAGTTATAAAAAATGTAAACTGCATCGATCTTTTTAACATCAAGTCGATGTAAAAGTTACTTGTTTGTGCAAACTGCATCTAGCAATTATAGATGTCTTTGTCATAACATTTGCCTATTGGCGTGCTTTGTTGGTAGTCTATTCTTATCCTTAATTAATTGATTTATCACCATTGGTCCGTCTACTGATGGAGGCTCGTCGTTCTGTTTATATGGCAACTACAAATTAATGTCAGAGATAAAAACGACGGTTAATGATGTTAATTGTTCAGATTGTTGTTCTAATTGGTGTTTCTTAAATTAGTGACCACGCTGAGGAAATAATTGTATAAATAATGATAACTTGTCTGGATCTTCGATCCTATTTCCTATAGAGCCTAGTGAGTTAGGATACGAAGTTGCAGACTTATTTTCAAACAACACAACTGTATTGACGCGTAGAACCATGCAATAGCGTACTCGTTGATTTTCACGAAATCGTTTTAATTTGAGCACAGGGACGCAAATACGAAGGCTAAAATTCCTAATATCTGTCTGTAATTCGTTTGTGATTTCGAAAATCAGTGCTTACTTCTTGACATCTAAGCCACTGGAGATTGGATAGAAACAGTTAGCTTAAAATTAGCAGAAAATGACTTTTTACATGGTATTCAGTAGGGCACAAAGATGGGGAAAAGATGGGGTTGTTTCTCCTTGCGCTACTGCTGAGGGAAAAGGAAAGCGGTGTGTACACTCTTCCTCTGAATCTAAGGAAAGCTGTGCCTACACTTGGATCCACCATTTAAACATTTAAGCCTCTTTGCATTGTACACATTGTACATTGTACACCCTTTTTACAGCACGTATGATGAACAAATTTACATAGCGAACAGTAAACTTGGCATTTTATACATTCTCCCCTACCATCTCTCTGAAAGGTCTTGCAGCGTACACGGTGGCGTGGGAAGGTTAATCTTTAAGGCGCTATGTCTTGGGTATATAAAAAATGTAACTGACATTTTCAGTGATGTACTAGTACATCACGGACTCTTAAAGGGATAACCTCATCTCAAGATTTGCCAGGTACCAATTACATGTAAATATACTCCCCTACCCAAAAGGGGTCACCCCTAACGCAATGCGTAAAGTGATACAAAAAATCATGTGATGAATCAATGTTCTTTATTCAACTTCTAAAAAGAATTTTTTTCACAAAACTTTACCGATTGTACTACCAATGAATGAAATAACAATAGTAAAAAAATCAAAGCCACATTTCAGTATTTTGTGCAGCATCTTCTGGATTGGAGGACGCACCTGTCGTGTCTGTGAGAAGAGTCCAAGGATCGAGGGATCGAGCTGGCCATTGGGTGGGGGTGGCAGTGGGGGGG